CGGTTATTTGAAGTTTATTTTGTTATCTTGTGTTTTTGTTGCCTTCTTTGTTACCTTTTATGATTCTTTTCGTGTATTTGTTTCCTTGTCTTTAGTCTGTACATGTATGTGTTTGTTTTCTGCCCGCTTGGTCGGTATAGTGAGTGTGGAGCCACACCTACAGTGTGGAGCCACACCTACAGTGTGGAGCCACACCTACAGTGTGGAGCCACACCTACAGTGTAGCCACACCTACATTGTGGAGCCACACCTACAGTGTGGAGCCACACCTACAGTGTGGAGCCACACCTACAGTGTGGAGCCACACCTACAGTGTGGAGCCACACCTACAGTGTGGAGCCACACCTACAGTGTGGAGCCACACCTACAGTGTGGAGCCACACCTACAGTGTGGAGCCACACCTACAGTGTAGAGCCACACCTACAGTGTGGAGCCACACCTACAGTGTGGAGCCACACCTACAGTGTGGAGCCACACCTACATTGTGGAGCCACACCTACAGTGTGGAGCCACACCTACAATGTGGAGCCACACCTACAGTGTGGAGCCACACCTACAGTGTGGAGCCACACCTACAGTGTGGAGCCACACCTACAGTGTGGAGCCACACCTACAGTGTGGAGCCACACCTACAGTGTGGAGCCACACCTACAGTGTGGAGCCACACCTACAGTGTGGAGCCACACCTACAGTGTGGAGCCACACCTACATTGTGGAGCCACACCTACAGTGTGGAGCCACACCTACAGTGTGGAGCCACACCTACAGTGTGGAGCCACACCTACAGTGTGGAGCCACACCTACAGTGTAGAGCCACACCTACAGTGTGGAGCCACACCTACAGTGTGGAGCCACACCTACAGTGTGGAGCCACACCTACAGTGTGGAGCCACACCTACAGTGTAGAGCCACACCTACATTGTGGAGCCACACCTACAGTGTGGAGCCACACCTACAGTGTAGAGCCACACCTACAGTGTGGAGCCACACCTACAGTGTGGAGCCACACCTACAGTGTAGAGCCACACCTACAGTGTGGAGCCACACCTACAGTGTGGAGCCACACCTACAGTGTGGAGCCACACCTACAGTGTGGAGCCACACCTACAGTGTGGAGCCACACCTACAGTGTGGAGCCACACCTACATTGTGGAGCCACACCTACAGTGTGGAGCCACACCTACAGTGTGGAGCCACACCTACAGTGTGGAGCCACACCTACAGTGTGGAGCCACACCTACAGTGTAGAGCCACACCTACAGTGTGGAGCCACACCTACAGTGTAGAGCCACACCTACATTGTGGAGCCACACCTACAGTGTGGAGCCACACCTACAGTGTGGAGCCACACCTACAGTGTGGAGCCACACCTACAGTGTGGAGCCACACCTACAGTGTAGAGCCACACCTACAGTGTGGAGCCACACCTACAGTGTGGAGCCACACCTACAGTGTGGAGCCACACCTACAGTGTGGTTGGTAGCCACACTGGCACCTACACACGCCTGAGATGGCCCAAGAAATGGTTACTGGACCTCAACCTGACAGGTGCAATGTTATGAGGACAGGAATACGAGAGAGAGAGAGAGAGAGAGAGAGAGAGAGAGAGAGAGAGAGAGAGAGAGAGAGAGAGAGAGCTTACAGAACAGTTCAAGATGAACTTACCAATATATAATGGGTCAGGATTGTAATAATCTAAGATGTGGTCTGATAAAAACCTTTTGTGCCCTCTGTAATGCTTTTTTGCGCTACCGCTCACAGGACGGGTATGGGGTGCACAATAAACTAGCCACCTCCGGCGGCAACAATCAATGGGTCAGGGAACAAAGGTCTGAGGAGAAAGATGAAAGAAAAAAAGGTCTGAAGAGGAAGATCAGAAGAGAAAAAGCTAACAAGCACACACACACACACTGGAACCTTTCGCTTGCCAACCCTTATGACCATAACAGGAACATTTTTGGTAGCGTAGTCTGCAGAACAATGTGTTCAACCTACGTGAGACCCGGCCTCGAGTATGCAGCTTCAGCGTGCACTTTCAACTAAATCAGATCATGAAATGAAATTAGTAAATGTTCAGAGAGATATGGGTGGTAAATACTTCAAATTGGTGAGAAGAAAAGATTGATAAATCAAACTCGTGCTCAACTTTATATGTAGATATTATATGTAGATATTATATGTAGACATTATATGTAGATATTATATGTAGATATGATATGTAGATATTATATGTAGATATTATATGTAGACATTATATGTAGATATTATATGTAGATATGATATGTAGATATATGTAGACATTATATGTAGATATTATATGTAGATATTATATGTAGATATTATATGTAGATATGATATGTAGATATTATATGTAGATATTATATGTAGACATTATATGTAGATATTATATGTAGATATGATATGTAGATATTATATGTAGATATGATATGTAGATATTATATGTAGATATTATATGTAGATATTATAAGCACTACGAGAAACAGCGGCTATTGTACGCACGCACGCACGCACGCATGGACACAGACTAGTAAACGAGCTGAGAGGTATGAGCTACGAGGAGAGACTACGGGAATTAAACCTCACTTCGTTGGAAGACAGAAGAGTTAGGGGGGACATGATCACCACATTCAAGATCCTCAAGGGAATTGACAGGGTTGATACAGACAGGCTGTTTAACACAAGGGGCACACGCACTAGGGGACACAGGTGGAAACTGAGTGCCCAAATGAGCCACAGAGATATTAGAAAGAACTTTTTTAGTGTCAGAGTAGTTGACAAATGGAATGCATTAGGAAGTGATGTGGTGGAGGCTGACTCCATACACAGTTTCAAGTGTAGATATGATAGAGCCCAATAGGCTCAGGAACCTGTACACCTGTTGATTGACGGTTGAGAGGCGGGACCAAAGAGCCAGAGCTCAACCCCCGCAAGCACAACTAGGTGAGTACACATACACAGGGGCCTCGCGGCTGAGTGGACAGCGCTTGGGGGGATGTAGTTCTAATGGCCTGGGTTCGATTCCCAGCGGAGGCGGAAATAAATGGGCAGAGTTTCTTTCACCCTGATGCTTCTGTTCGCCTAGCAGTAAATAGGTACTTGGGAGTTAGACAGCTGCTACGGGCTGCTTCCTGGGAATGTGTGTGTGTGTGTGTATTTAAATAGTTGTATTCACCTAGTTGTGCTTGCGGGGGTTGAGCTCTGCTCTTTCGACCCGCCTCCCAACTGTCAATCAATCAACTGTTACTATAAACTGTCAATCAATCAACTGTTACTATAAACTGTCAATCAACTGTTACTATAAACTGTCAATCAATCAACTGTTACTATAAACTGTCAATCAATCAACTGTTACTATAAACTGTCAATCAATCAACTGTTACTATAAACTGTCAATCAACTGTTACTATAAACTGTCAATCAACTGTTACTATAAACTGTCAATCAACTGTTACTATAAACTGTCAATCAACTGTTACTATAAACTGTCAATCAACTGTTACTATAAACTGTCAATCAATCAACTGTTACTAACTACTATTTTTTGTGTGTATGTGCGTGTGTCAGAGAGAAATATATGTAGTAGATATAATAGAGGAAAAATAGATTGGTTAGAAAGGCGGGGTCCAAGAGCTAATAGCTCGGTTCTGCAGACACAAATAGTAAATACACACACAGGTAGAACGGATCAATTTTGTCGCAAAGATTAAATTCGGGTTCACAGAAAAGTTCTTTGACAAAACGCCAGTAATTCCACAGGAAAATAAAGGATGGACTGGCTCCATCTTCGTCGGAACTGGAATCTTGAGGTTATCTTGAGATGATTTCGGGGCTTTTTAGTGTCCCCGCGGCCCGGTCCTCGACCAGGCCTCCACCCCCAGGAAGCAGCCCGTGACAGCTGACTAACACCCAGGTACCTATTTTACTGCTAGGTAACAGGGGCATAGGGTGAAAGAAACTCTGCCCATTGTTTCTCGCCGGCGCCTGGGATCGAACCCAGGACCACAGGATCACAAGTCCAGCGTGCTGTCCGCTCGGCCGACCGGCTCCCTTACGAGGAAGGGGTGACAACCTGCTTTAGAGAATACCTATCCGACAGGAACCAGAGAGAGAGTAGCAGTGTGATCATCTCAATGACAGGAAATAACGAGGAGAACATCCCACCAGGGATTAGCACTGAGACATGTGCTCTTCCTGAGAGATACATCCCTCACAACACTGATGAGGGAGCGTGTCTTGTGTCAACGTTTTGTAATCAATCAGCGATGGAAAACTGATTGATTAGAACAGATGAGGATTGTAGAATGCTTCAGGTGGACCGGGTCACAGTATAGAGCATGTCTCAAATAACCATGTTATTTGAGACATGGTTGTTTGACTTAAATCCAGGCATATGTAAGGTGATGACATTTTGAAATGGGATGAGGAGGATACAGGTCCGATACAAGATGACTTGTAGGTAAATTCTTTTGGTAGAAAAGGGAAGAAATCTTTGGGGTAGACATGGTTCCAAGGCCATCACCAGAGGTGCAGATTATCATGATAAAATCTGCATTCAGGACGGTGTTCACTACCTACGTCAGACCAGAACTAGGGTGTGCAGCGCCAGCTTGGACTTCGCAGCTAAAGATGCAACACAAAACTAGAGAAACGTAAGGAGTTTGCTCCAAGACTGATTCCTGAAGTTAAGAGAACTGAGCTATTGGAAAAGTCTGATAAAACTAGGCTTCACCACGCTGGAAACGAGATGGGTAATAGGCGATATGATCACGACATATAAGATTCCATAGGGCATTTGGCACAGCTGAAAAAAAACGAACTGTTTAGCATGAACAGGGGCAGAAGAAGAGAGCACAGTTGAAAGCTACAGAAACAGGTGAGCCATAGAGACGTAAGGAAACACAGCTTCACTGTAAAAGTACTCAGCAAGTGAAACAGTTTAGAAAGAGTAGGCAGTTTGGGCTCATTTCTTAACACCATGTCAATAGTGGCCCTGATGGGAGAGTTGGCCACCGGTGAGTGAGAGAGGCGGGGACGAGGAGCTGGAGCTTACTCTGCAACCATGTATAGCCAAGCACACACACACACACAGCTCTGTCTTCTCCTTGTGTTTAATTTTATATATATGACTTGTAAGCTGAGTCCCTGCGGGTGTGTGTTGACGCTGACTGTGTTGACACAGACTGTGTTGACGCGGACTGTTGACGCTGACTGTGTTACGCTGACTGTGTTGACGCTGACTGTGTTGTCGCTGACTGTTGACGCTGACTGTTGACGCTGACTGTGTTGACGCTGACTGTGTTGTCGCTGACTGTTGACGCAGACTGTGTTGTCGCAGACTGTGTTGTCGCTGACTGTGTTGACGCTGACTGTTGACGCTGACTGTTGACGCTGACTGTGTTGACGCGGACTGTGTTGACGCTGACTGTTGACGCTGACTGTTGACGCTAACTGTGTTGACGCGGACTGTGTTGACGCTGACTGTGTTGACGCGGACTGTGTTGACGCTGACTGTGTTGTCGCTGACTGTTGACGCTGACTGTTGACGCTAACTGTGTTGACGCGGACTGTGTTGACGCTGACTGTGTTGACGTGGACTGTGTTGACGCTGACTGTTGACGCTGACTGTGTTGACGCTGACTGTGTTGTCGCTGACTGTTGACGCTGACTGTTGACGCGGACTGTGTTGACGCTGACTGTTGACGCTAACTGTGTTGACGCTGACTGTGTTGTCGCTGACTGTTGACGCTGACTGTTGACGCTAACTGTGTTGACGCGGACTGTGTTGACGCTGACTGTGTTGACGCGGACTGTCTTGACGCTGACTGTGTTGACGCTGACTGTGTTGTCGCTGACTGTGTTGACGCTGACTGTTGACGCTGACTGTGTTGACGCGGACTGTGTTGACGCTGACTGTGTTGACGCTGACTGTGTTGACGCTGACTGTGTTGTCGCTGACTGTGTTGACGCTGACTGTTGACGCTGACTGTGTTGACGCGGACTGTGTTGTCGCTGACTGTGTTGACGCTGACTGTTGACGCTGACTGTGTTGACGCGGACTGTGTTGTCGCTGACTGTGTTGACGCGGACTGTGTTGACGCTGACTGTGTTGACGCTGACTGTGTTGACGCTGACTGTGTTGACGGGGACTGTGTTGACGCTGACTGTGTTGACGCTGACTGTGTTGACGCTGACTGTGTTGACGCGGACTGTGTTGACGCAGACTGTGTTGACGCTGACTGTGTTGACGCTGACTGTTGACGCTGATTGTGTTGTCGCTGACTGTGTTGACGCTGACTTTTGACGCGGACTGTGTTGACGCTGACTGTTGACGCTGACTGTGTTGACGCGGACTGTGTTGACGCGGACTGTGTTGACGGGGACTGTGTTGACGCGGACTGTGTTGACGCTGACTGTTGACGCTGACTGTGTTGACGCTGACTGTGTTGACGCGGACTGTGTTGACGCTGACTGTGTTGACGCTGTGTTGACGCTGACTGTGTTGACGCTGACTGTGTTGACGCTGTGTTGACGCGGACTGTGTTGACGCTGACTGTGTTGACGCTGACTGTGTTGACGCTGTGTTGACGCTGACTGTGTTGACGCGGACTGTGTTGACGCTGTGTTGACGCTGACTGTGTTGACGCGGACTGTGTTGACGCTGACTGTGTTGACGCTGACTGTGTTGTCGCTGACTGTGTTGACGCTGACTGTTGACGCTGACTGTGTTGACGCGGACTGTGTTGACGCTGACTGTGTTGACGCTGACTGTGTTGACGCTGACTGTGTTGTCGCTGACTGTGTTGACGCTGACTGTTGACGCTGACTGTGTTGACGCGGACTGTGTTGACGCTGACTGTTGACGCTGACTGTGTTGACGCTGACTGTGTTGACGCTGACTGTGTTGACGCTGACTGTGTTGACGCTGACTGTTGACGCTGACTGTTGACGCTGACTGTTGACGCGGACTGTGTTGACGCTGTGTTGACGCGGACTGTGTTGACGCTGACTGTTGACGCGGACTGTTGACGCTGACTCTGTTGACGCGGACTGTGTTGACGCTGACTGTTGACGCTGACTGTGTTGACGCTGACTGTTGACGCTGACTGTTGACGCTGACTGTTGACGCGGACTGTGTTGACGCTGACTGTTGACGCTGACTGTTGACGCTGACTCTGTTGACGCGGACTGTGTTGACGCTGACTGCTGACGCTGACTGTTGACGCTGACTGTTGACGCTGACTGTTGACGCTGACTGTTGACGCGGACTGTGTCGACGCTGACTGCTGACGCTGACTGTTGACGCTGACTCTGTTGACGCGGACTGTGTTGACGCTGACTGTTGACGCTGACTGTGTTGACGCTGACTGTTGACGCTGACTGTTGACGCTGACTGTTGACGCGGACTGTGTTGACGCTGACTGTTGACGCTGACTGTTGACGCTGACTTTGTTGACGCGGACTGTGTTGACGCTGACTGCTGACGCTGACTGTTGACGCTGACTGTTGACGCTGACTGTTGACGCGGACTGTGTTGACGCTGACTGCTGACGCTGACTGTTGACGCTGACTCTGTTGACGCGGACTGTGTTGACGCTGACTGTTGACGCGGACTGTTGACGCGGACTGTTGACGCGGACTGTTGACGCTGACTGTGTTGACGCGGACTGTTGACGCTGACTGTGTTGACGCTGACTGTTGACGCGGACTGTGTTGACGCTGACTGTTGACGCTGACTGTTGACGCGGACTGTTGACGCTGACTGTTGACGCGGACTGTGTTGACGCTGACTGTTGACGCTGACTGTTGACGCGGACTGTGTTGACGCTGACTGTTGACGCTGACTGTTGACGCGGACTGTGTTGACGCGGACTGTGTTGACGCTGACTGTTGACGCGGACTGTGTTGACGCTGACTGTTGACGCTGACTGTTGACGCGGACTGTTGACGCTGACTGTTGACGCGGACTGTGTTGACGCGGACTGTGTTGACGCGGACTGTGTTGACGCTGACTGTTGACGCGGACTGTGTTGACGCTGACTGTTGACGCTGACTGTTGACGCTGACTGTTGACGCTGACTGTTGACGCGGACTGTGTTGACGCTGACTGTTGACGCTGACTGTTGACGCTGACTGTTGACGCTGACTGTTGACGCGGACTGTGTTGACGCGGACTGTGTTGACGCTGACTGTTGACGCTGACTGTTGACGCGGACTCCTCGCCAACTTCATCGCGAAATTGACTATTAAAGAAATATTTACTCGAGATGATGAAGTAATTACCGGGAGAGTCTTGGTGGTGTGAGCCCTTGCTCCTGTGTCGCACTCAGGCACGGTGCTGGCGTCTGGCCTACACGGTGTGACGTCCCACTCAGGCACGGACGGCGCACTCACGGACGTCGCACTCAGGCACGGACGTCGCACTCAGGCACGGACGGCGCACTCAGGCACGGACGTCGCACTCAGGCACGGACGTCGCACTCAGGCACGGACGTCGCACTCAGGCACGGACGTCGCACTCAAGGAGCACTTATGGCCTGTCTTCGTGCTGGCGCCTATCCCACAGGCAGGCTACGGCTGGATTGGATAGGTCTGTCTGTCCGTCTCTGTGTTTGTACGTATATAATACGCCTGTCTCCACCTGGGGGCCATATCGTGCAGCTTGCACTCTAGTCATCTTACCTTGAGGTGCTTCCGGGGCTTAGCGTCCCCGCGGCCCGGTCGTCGACCAGGCCTCCTGGTTGCCGGACTGATCAACCAGGCTGTTGGACGCGGCTGCTCGCAGCCTGACGTATGAGTCACAGCCTGGTCACACATCTTGGTGTGTGTGTGTGTTGTCGTTATTTGGGTCTGAGCGTGTAGGTCTGATTGTATTAATGCACGGTTGTATTGTTATCTGATTGTATTATGGATCTTATCACGTTGCAGTGTAATCATATCGTCAATCATAATTAATTGAAATATCACCTGTAACACCATATGTTAGACGGATAATATATAAATGGAAATTTATGCGACATTTCTGGAGAATTTCCATACCTGATTTGGAACGATGTAATTGGAAAAGTCAACATAAACGAGGGTAGGCAAACTGAGTCCAATCAGGAGCTGCTGCGCGTGGGCCAATAGGCTTACTATCTTGAGGTTATCTTGAGATGTTTTCGGGGCTTTAAGTGTCCCCGCGGCCCGGTCCTCGACCAGGCCTCCAACCCCAGGAAGCAGCCCGTGACTAACACCCAGGTACCTATTTTACTGCTAGGTAACAGGGGCATAGGGTGAAAGAAACTCTGCCCATTGTTTCTCGCCGGCGCCTGGGATCGAACCCAGGACCACAGGATCACAAGTCCAGTGTGCTGTTCGCTCGGCCCCCTATATCTTCCTTTACTCTCATTCTCTCTCTAACTCTATATATATATATGGCTTTGAAACTCTGAATGTGCCATTATGAGAACTATACCTGGTTGATGGGGTTCTGGGAGTTCTTCTACTCCCCAAGCCCGGCCCGAGGCCACGCTTGACTTGTGAGTGTTTGGTCCACCAGGCTGTTGCTTGGAGCGGCCCGCAGGGCCACCTATCCACCACATATCCTACAAATGGGGGTGAAACTTTGACAGAACAGTGAAACAAAAGCTGGCGCGCTCCCAACAAGCAGATCTTGAACAACCACCAGCGGTAGTCTTGGTAACAAGGTTAGGTTAGGTTGCAGAGAAGAGCAAAGGGACTCACTCAGCTTGGCAGGCGTACTTATAAGTCAAATATGCTGAAAATAGGAAAGCACGTCCATAGTACCCCCCCCCCCCTATTCTTGCATGGGGGAGGATGGCGTAGGTCGTTCTTGGGTCCAGTGGCTTATATTAGCGAAGAATAGTAACTACCTTTAAGATGAAGCACATATGCCTAAAATTATCAAAAAATTTTTTTTAATATTCCTAAAATCATCAAAATAACATTTTAATATGCCGAAAATCATCAAAATAAATTTTCAGTACGCCCAAAATCATCAACCACTTTTTAATGTGCCTAAAATCACCAAAATAAATTTTTAATATGCCTAAAAATCACCAAGAAAACCTTGTAATATGCCTAAAAATCATCAAAACCACTTTTTAAATTCATATATCAAAATATCTGTATTTACCACAGAAACCATAAATCATGTTAATTGACCAACACCATTATCCGTCAATGAATGAAACGTTCCTCACTTTTATACAATTCTGCATTCATGACTCTGTTGACAAACACGATTTAAAACACAAAAACCAATCCACATATAACAACGCCCCTAACAAACACTCCACAAAGGCCAATGAATGTTCAGCATGTCCCTTAAGGCTATTAACGTACAAATGCCACACACACCAAGCTTTAAAATATAAAATAAAGCTAATGAAAGTACATTTGAAAAAATGTCAAGCAGGTTAGTACAAACGGCGTTTGGATCTAATCATAGTGGGCTCTGATCGCCTTGGTGTGATGATACAGGATTATGATGACCCTGGGGGTGTGATGATACAGGGCTCTGTTGGCCCCTGGGGGTGTGATGATACAGGATTATGATGACCCTGGGGGTGTGATGATACAGGGCTCTGTTGGACCCTGGGGGTGTGATGATACAGGATTATGATGACCCTGGGGGTGTGATGATACAGGGCTCTGTTGGCCCCTGGGGGTGTGATGATACAGGGCTCTGTTGGCCCCTGGGGGTGTGATGATACAGGGCTCTGTTGGCCCCTGGGGGTGTGATGATACAGGGGTGTGATAATACAGGGCTCTGATGATACCCGCACTTAACAAGAGTTTGGCTATGCCAGACGAAGCACACATGACTCGACGCAAGCGCTCTGTCTGGCTCCTTATTATATGTTTACCCGCACTTGGCGTGGGCTGACACCTCGACACGCCTGGCGACACCTCAAAGTGTCCCCCTTGGTCCCTGCGAGGGGAGAGGAACGAGCGGTAGTGTGGCTCAGGAAGGGGAGCAGTATTACGCTTGATAACCTCTTCGATTAGGGAAGGAGGGAGGGAGTGTTAGGTGGGAGGGAAGGGAAGGTAGAGGCTGAGAGAAGGATGAAACAAGTAGTGATGGAGATAGTGGGGAGATGGACTATAAAAGATGGGTAGAGGAGACGGGGATTAAAGAAACGTAATTGTTGGTTGTGGGATACGAAGGGGGGCGAGTAAGAGAGAGAGAGAGAGAGAGAGAGAGAGATGTGAGTAAGAGAAAGCCAGCGAGGAGGTGAAAGTGTGTTAGGTAAACACAGGATTGGTTACCAATCACTGTATCCATTCACACACACACACATGTTACAGGTGTTAGTTTTCCAGGTGTCTTGAGGACACGAGAAATTGCCAGACACTCACTCTACTGGGCTAGTGACGAGGAGGTAACGCCATCTTCCCCGTGACGAAGACGTCTGAGAGTCTGACGAAGAGTTCTTCTACAGAGGAGAGATATTCCCTCGTGTCTCTGCTCGTCCAGAACTGTCAGACAACTGTAAACGTGACGCAATGTGTGCTAGAGTAGTCGTTACGGAGACAGCCACCTTCATACGTGCCAGGGACGTCGTCATGGGTGTCAGGGACGTCGGCATGGGTGCCAGGGACGTCGGCATGGGTGCCAGGGACGTCGGCATGGGTGCCAGGGACGTCGGCATGGGTGCCAGGGACGTCGGCATGGGTGCCAGGGACGTCGGCATGGGTGCCAGGGACGTCGGCATGGGTGCCAGGGACGTCGGCATGCGTGTCAGGGACGTCATCATGGGTGCCAGGGACGTCATCATGGGTGCCAGGGACGTCGGCATGGGTGTCAGGGACGTCGGCATACGTGTCAGGGACGTCGGCATGGGTGCCAGGGACGTCGGCATACGTGTCAGGGACGTCATCATGGGTGTCAGGGACGTCGTCATGGGTGCCAGGGACGTCGGCATGGGTGTCAGGGACGTCGTCATGGGTGTCAGGGACGTCGGCATGGGTGTCAGGGACGTCGGCATGGGTGCCAGGGACGTCGGCATACGTGCCAGGGACGTCGGCATGGGTGTCAGGGACGTCGGCATGGGTGTCAGGGACGTCGGCATGGGTGTCAGGGACGTCGGCATACGTGCCAGGGACGTCGTCATGGGTGTCAGGGACGTCGGCATACGTGCCAAGGACGTCGTCATGGGTGTCAGGGACGTCGTCATGGGTGTCAGGGACGTCGGCATGGGTGTCAGGGACGTCGTCATGGGTGCCAGTGACGTCGGCATGGGTGCCAGGGACGTCGGCATGGGTGCCAGGGACGTCGGCATGGGTGCCAGGGACGTCGGCATGGGTGCCAGGGACGTCATCATGGGTGCCAGGGACGTCGGCATGGGTGCCAGGGACGTCGGCATGGGTGCCAGGGACGTCGGCATGGTTCCAGGGACGTCGGCATGGGTGCCAGGGACGTCGGCATGGGTGCCAGGGACGTCGTCATGGGTGCCAGGGACGTCGGCATGGGTGCCAGGGATGTCGGCATGGGTGCCAGGGACGTCGGCATGGGTGCCAGGGACGTCGGCATGGGTGCCAGGGACGTCGGCATGGGTGCCAGGGACGTCGGCATGGGTGCCAGGGACGTCATCATGGGTGCCAGGGACGTCGGAACTCCCAGAACCCCATCAAGCCGTATTGCCAGGCATGCAAATCTTTTTCCTTCTTTTTTTGCAGTCGGAGGGCTCCTTGTGACTACAGGACTGAGTCTGACTCCTTATACCTTATCCCTATATTTTTATCTTGCACCACTTTCCATCCTTATCTTCTGCACTGAGGCTCTCGTCAAACCTCCCCTTCCTCTTTTGTTTCCTTTCTTAGTTCTCCATTTCATTTTTTTTCCCCTCTTCAAGTTTTCTCTTTGCATTCTCTCTCTCTCTGATCTCTCTTCCGTTCCAGACCATCTCGGTGCTTTCTGCATTTTTAAAGTCTACATGGACGCTCTCAAGCATCGCACCTTTCTCACCCCTCATGTGGCGCCCTCAGCCCTCTCCACCCTCAGCCCTGCCTACTCTCAGCCCTCTCCACCCTCAGTCCTCCCCGCCCTCAGCCCTCCCCACCCTCAGCCCTCTCAGCCCTCAGCCCTCTCCGCCCTCAGCCCTCTCCGCCCTCCCCGCCCTCAGCCCTCTCCACCCTCCCCGCCCTCAGCCCTCCCCACCCTCAGCCCTCCCCACCCTCAGCCCTCCCCGCCCTCAGCCTCCCCACCCTCCCCCCCACCCTCAGCC